GGCCCCGAGCTGCGCCGGTAACACCCCCCCCGCACCCCGGGCAGGGCTGGGCGGGGGAGCCGTAGCCCCGCGGAGCTCAGGGGTTGGGGCGGGGAGCCAGCAGCTGCATCTCCTACGGCTTTTGCCAAGTGCAGCCGGGGCGGCTGCCTGCGTTCCTGGTGTCTGTGGAGAGGAAGGGCAGGGTAACGGGGCCGCGCTTCGGCCTTGGCCGCTGCCAGCGCTTGCCAACGCTGCGTGGCCCACCCACGCGTTTCTGGGAAATCACCTGCAAGGTCTGGGAGGCGATTCCCTCAAGCTAAGAAATCCAGGCAGGAGCCGGTAAGATACGCGCCGCTGGGTACAAACCCGCTCGGGCGCTCCCGAACTCCACCGCCAGCTCCCTCAACGCCCAACGGAGGCCCCTGGTCTCTGCCATCACCCGTTGTCTGGATGACACACGAGTGTTGTAAGGTCACCTTCGTCCACGGAGATCACACCCCAGCTGTGCTGGGCGTACCGGTACGTGTGTGAGAGGTGATGATTTGCCACTAAAGGACTTGCTGCGCAGCCGAAACGCTGGATGAAAAAGCCCAGGAGCCTAGGGCACTTCCACCAGCAACTTCCCCAGCACCACTGTGTCTGTGGGGCTGGCCTGGTCCCGAGTCACCAGCACCTCCACATTTCAGCCAGACCCATTCCTCGGCCACACACCCTCTGCTTCCACACTTTTAAGCCAGGAAGCTAGTGCAGCAGGACAAGTGTCTCACATTGTCTTCAGCTGAACAGGTCTGCTGGATTTCATGAAAAAAGCTGATTCCTCTGCTGCCACGGAGTCCTTGAACGCTGCTCAGGAGACACAGGAGTCTGCTCCAGGCAGCACCACGTTAAAGCAAAACTAATCCAAGCATGGTTGCCTAGCTCCACCCCATCCCAGACTCTTGGAAGGGTCAGCTGCAGTGCAGATCAGGAGAAACCTTACCTTCCCAAAAGCCTTCTGGTGGTTTCCCACACTGAACCACCTCACCCAGAGGTCAGATGACCTTCAGTGCCAGCAACAAGAAGCCCCAGCAGCACCAATTATTTCAGTTAAACAGAGTACACCTGGACTCTTACTGTGGCTGGGCCAGCTGGAATGCCCTTTCCCAAAAAGACAGAATTACTTGAAAAATTAAGATCTTCCTTCAACTCATCACTGCTGCAGACCAGTCTCCTGGACTCATAATTTCCCCCAAAAGAGACAGTAAGGATGGGAGATACTATCTGAATGAACCGAGGCAGGACTAGTGCTCTATGAACAGCAACAGCTAGTAGGACCCAGGATTTTTTCTTCTCAGAGCTGACCATGTCATCAGCATGAGTCAGATTGGGAGTTAGTGAGCACTATAAAATCATTTAAGAGCAGGTATGTCCATAAAGGCTGAAGAAAATGACAAAGTAGCAATAATTAGAGATATAAACAGAGGCACCACTATTTAAAGCCATGGCACAGGACAGATCAGCACTTCAGCAGCAGCTAGTTAGATTTGGTCCTGATGCCTTTGTAGCGGTCAATCAAAAGAAGCCAAGTGACATTATCCACAGAGCACACTTCTGTATCGTCCCACTGCAGGAGCGAGCGAGGGTCCAAAACCAGGGACACTTGCTTCGGCCCCAACCAACCTCCTCGGCGCTTTTAGGCTGACTGGTATCAACTAGCCTGGCTACTGCTACCCATCTCTTCAAGCACCCTTATTCCCAGGAAGACACCTCCACTTGCACTTAGATGTGCTTTTGCACACCACCAGCTGAGAACAGAGTTACCTGGAATGTATGCAGGCTATAGTTCACTAGTGCAGCTGGGTGTGCAAACAGATGATTGACTGAGGGCCAGCTGAAGAGCTAACCCTCTGTTCAGAAAGGTGCGTTTAAAGCTTTAAATGTAATGAACAGACCTTTCTCATGTACAGTGTGTTCAACCACACAACATGCAATGACTCATGGCAAGTTAAATATATATTTATAGCTGCATTTTTTTTAAGCCCTGCAATGACAATATATTATAAGTATGACCTCAACAAAACCAAAGAGAACCAGTGTTCTCTACTACAAATCTGCGAGGGTGTGTGGGGGGAAAGTCTCTCTGCAAAGGGATGAGTAATTAAGTATTCACACCATTTGGAAACCATGAATCAACTCACACAATCCAAGATCTGTGCATTTAATAGAAGTGGTGATTTTACTCCCACAAGTTTTTTGCCACTAGTATGGCAAAGATGAAAGACACAAACAACTGATAAAATTTTTTTTTATTATTCACTTTTGTATTCTTTTACACTTTCCTGATTATTTTGTGTAAGGTGAAACTAGAACTGTTTAAAAGACATACACAAATCTAGTACATCAATAACCAGGTATTTCTTTTTGCTATACTATTCTCACAACCACGTGTGTGCTAGGCAATATAACCGTCACAGAAGCAAACTTTAGGCAGAATACTGGTCAGTAAAAACAAAGCGAAAAGAGCTACCAGATATACAGACAGGCTCGGTTCCACATTCACTACTGCATTTATCAAGCGCCAAGTATTAACTGCACAATTTGTTCAGCTAGTAGAGGGGAGTTTTAAAATCAGTGCATGAAATTCTCTTCAGCAGACAGATGGACAGACAAACAGATGGATCCTATACCTAAGTGGAATGTGAAGGTAGGGGGATGATACCGCGAGACTGATAGGTGACTATTCCTAATCTTTTCCACTGCATTATTCACGCAACTCTTATTAGGCTTTATTTAATGGGACATGTTTGAAACATAACTAGGTGAGGACGTTTGGAGCTCAAATATTACAAGCATTACAAATGTGTAGGTCTGCATTCCAGTACAATAAACGGGAAATCCTGAATATTTGAGCCAGATCCTGGTACTACCAAAAAATGGCAGACAAGAGCTGAACACTGCAACAGCACTGGCAGCTCTCAAATATCCAAGAAAGAAACCTGCCCTCCAGCAGGTTCAGGTCTCACCCAGCATCCTGACATCACCCATAATCAAAGAAAGGATGACGCATATGTGGGAGTCCAAAATTGCTTTAATGGAGTTTAAACAGGTGAGAGGGTCAAGGATGAACAGAGTCCAATGGGAGAAAAATTTCTGTAAAGTGAACTTAAAGATGGCTCAGTGGATTACTTAAGAAGTTTTCAGGATAAATTCCAAATGGGAATACCATGGAGATTTCGATTCACCTAAGAGTAAAGTAATGCAAAAGTGGTAGATCACTTCATGGTATCATGCAAACTAATAAGGCCATTCAAAAAATTGAATCTTCTCCTATTGCAAGTCCATGGTAGTGAACCAAGAATTCTCACTACTGAAGAATATCTAAGGTATAATTAAGTAAGTTATTGCTGTGGGAAGGGGCTTAGTCATGCATGTCGTATGAGCATGAAAGCACTTTTAGAAGTCAAATCCCAGTTATCTGCCAGTGTAAAGAGTTTGGAAATCAAGCTGCTAACTCCCCCATCACCCTCCTCCCTAAAACAAACCCCATCCACAGAAAGATAGGATTGACAAAGTGAGCTTTTGACTGAAAGCGGTGCCTCAGACTTGGTTACAAATGTCTACAGAGTGTGCCTGTTAAACTAATTCATAGCAGTGTTACTAACTGGAATGCCATACATCGGACTGTTTTCCTTCCATGCCCCAGTGTCACAATAGAATCTCTATAACTTTCTGTACAACTTTACAACAGAATTGTACTTCGACTATTTTGGTGCCAAATTAAGCTCGCCAGAGTTACATAATTGATGTCTACTCTTCTACCAATAAGAGTTTTGTAAAGTCAATTGCAATCACAAAACCCATAATCACAGTGTTCAGTTAAAAATATAAACACGGTAATCATAACTGTAAATGTTCAT